GAGGGACAGAGGAGCAGGAGGCAGAAGAGGAGGAGGAGGAGCCAGGTATTCCCAGCTGGTCTCAACATGCTCCCCGAGTGGTCTGTGGCAGTCTCGACACGCCAACTCAGGGGCGTGGAGCGCATGTCTCGTTGAGGCCGCTGGGACTTCTCTGGGGAGCCTGTCTGTGCGCAACCCGAAGCCTTCCGAGTCTCTGGATCGCCGGACCCAACATACAACATCAACGTCCCTAGTGGGGGTCCTGCGTGAACCGCCTGCACAACTGGCCAACACCCATCCAGATTACTACATGGTGGTTCGGCCTCTTCCGGCAGCTCCTCACTGCGGAAACAGACTGACTGCAGGAACCACCATCGCGCCGCCAGGGGGTTCCAGCGCCGATCCGAGAAATCCGCGCGGAGCTGCGAGCGTGTTTTTATGCTTCTGCCGTTCTATCTCCTCCCCGATCTGAGCCGCCGAGACCGATCGATCCCGGCGCGGGCCGCCGCTGGCGCTCGCCAGGGTGGAGCCTCTGATCCTCGGCAGCCTCGCTGGCCTCGGCCGCCTCCGACCTGGGCTTCGAGAGCCGCCGCCGCGCCCCGCCCGCCCCCCGCCCGCCCCCCGCGAGGCCCGCCCACGCGGGCCGCCGCGGGCGCACGCCGCGCTCGGCGCAGCCGCGGCCCGCCCCCGCCCGGGCGGGCGGCGCGCGCCCGCAGGAGCGGCCCGCCGCCGCCCGCCGGCGGCCGTCGCCAGGGGTCGGCGTCGGCGTCGGTGCCGTCGTCGTAAGTCGGGCCTGTCCCTCTACAGGAGGAGTACCCAAAAATAGTCAAACATAGTTCGGGGACGATTTTTGGACATTTTTTTTTTATTTTTTTTTCTTTTGTTTTGTTTTTTTGCATTTTTCCCCACATCCTGAGTGGGGTTCTTGTTTTCCCAGGACACCCTCTCCTTCCCACCTTCCCACCTTCCCACCTCCCGCTCCCTCTTCCTATTCCTACCATACCATACTATACCATACCATGCAATACCGCTCCCTCTTCCTACTCCTACCATACTATACCATACCATACAATACCATACCATTATATAGCAGACCACCGTACCTACCATACCACACCTAGGAAACCATACATACACCATCACCGCATACCTACCACACCATACAATACCATACAATACCTACCTACCACGCTCGCTCCCTCTTCCTATTCCTACCATACCATACTATATCATACCATACAATACCATACCATACTATAGCAGACCACCGGAGTCAGGCAAGCACGCAGGAAACCATACATACACCCCTCCCACCCCTCCAGGGAGGCCCCGCCTGAGCGAGGACAGTATTCGCAAACCATATTATTTAACAGGTTTCGTGCCCCTCCCACCGCTCCAGGGAGGCCCCGCCTGAGCGAGGACAGTATTCGCAAACCATATTATTTATCAGGTTTCGTGCCCCTCCCACCGCTCCAGGGAGGCCCCGCCAGAGCGAGGACAGTATTCGCAAACCATATTATTTATCAGGTTTCGTGCCCCTCCCACCGCTCCAGGGAGGCCCCGCCTGAGCGAGGACAGTATTCGCAAACCATATTATTTATCAGGTTTCGTGCCCCTCCCACCCTCCAGGGAGGCCCCGCCAGAGCGAGGACAGTATTCGCAAACCATATTATTTATCAGGTTTCGTGCCCCTCCCACCGCTCCAGGGAGGCCCCGCCTGAGCGAGGACAGTATTCGCAAACCATATTATTTATCAGGTTTCGTGCCCCCGCCAGAGCGAGGACAGTATTCGCAAACCATATTATTTATCAGGTTTCGTGCCCCTCCCACCCCTCCAGGGAGGCCCCGCCAGAGCAAGGACAGTATTCGCAAGCCATATACATATAACGGCGCACCGGGTCCGGGGGCCCGGGGCCGGGACCTCTACCACAAATGTGCGCCCCGGGGGGCCCGGAGGCTCGTCGGGGCTTGCCGGAGGCCTCCCCAGTCAGACAAGACGGCCCAAGAAGCGCCCAAGACGGCCCAAGAAACTTCCAAGAGGCCTCCAAGAGGGCTCCGAGATGCTGAAGATGGCCTCCAGACGTCCAAGGAGGCCCCCAAGAGGCCCCAAGAAGCCTCCAACATGCGTCCCAAGAGGGCCCCTAGACGCAAAAATTGGCCCATTCCCTTCGTAAAACGTACATTTTCAACAAAGTTGTCTTTTGGGCTTTCCGACGTTACAGGACGGCCCAAGAGGCGCCCAAGACCGCCCCAAGACGGCCCAAGAAGCTTCCAAGAGGGCCCCAGGACAGCCCAAGAGGGCCCCAAGACGGCCCAAGAGGCGCCCAAGATGGCCCAAGAGGGCCCCAAGACGGGCCCAAGAGGGGGCCCAGAGGGGGACCACGAACCGCAAGCTCGAGCCTTCCGCCCCAAGAGGCCGCCAGGAGGCCCCCAGGAGGCCCCTCAAGAGGCCCCAGGAGACCCCAGACGTCCAAGGACGCCCCCAAGAGGCTCCAAGAAGCCTCCAACATGCGTCCCAAGA